TGGTCTTCTGTGATGAGCTAGTGGGAGGCGACTAAACTAAAGTCAGATCTTATCCAGTACTCTCCTTACCAGCCACCATGAATGGTGTTTAATGGGCTTGTAAACATCCACTGACTGGTGGTAAATCAGCTGTGAAACACTAATGTACAACACAGGATACTTCAGCTAGTGTTGTAGGTAGGGTTGTCACGGTAACCGGTGTAGCGGTAAACCCCGGTAAAAAAGTTGACAATAATAATAACCGTCTTGTTTTTTAAAAAGTATATTATCTCGGTGGATTACCGTGGCTGTGGTGTAGGCGCAGTGACCCTTACCGGCCACCGTATCATCTGCTGAAGTTGCCGGCGGCACATGCGCACTTTGTTGTTTACAACCAAAACTTTCTTGAAGCTAAAGTTGAAATAATGGCTAAAGGAGGAGACGGCAGCGCTCAGGACATGTATTATCCCTCAAAGAAGACAAAGTGGGAAGTACGGGCATGTTTTGGATATTTGAAGAATGCCGAGGGACAGCTGATAGAAGACGGCTATCCTGTTTGCAGCACGTGCAGAAAAAGTGTCTGTGAAAGGCAGCAACGCTTCAAATCTCATGACACATCTGCGTGACCATCACCCACAACTCTACAGTCAACGCAAGGCAAGCTAACGTTAGCGTTTTAGCTAAAATGCGTGATCCGAGGATTTGGGTTGAGGGAGAATGCAACGAGTCGCTATATAAAGCAGCCGCAGCGCCGCTACCTGCATATAAACCGTGTCGCGGACACCCCCATGTTGAAATGACGCTATGCATTACGGGGCTCCCAGGGGCAGATAAGAGTTGGTCTCTCTCCGAGAATAATTATGAATTTAACAATGATTACTGCCTGATGACATTTTCCCCACATCTGCAAAGCTCACTGGAAGGACACAAACCGAGGACAATATTTTCCTGATATAGGGTTTATTACTCAAGTAAGGGTAAAAAAGTATCTGATTAGAAGGCTACTTGAGTACTGAGTATCATCTGATCTAATATTTTAAAAGGATGACATCAAACTGACAAAAAACAAGAAGTTATGGGCAAATATTGGTATTTTAAAGACTAAAGGGGAAAAATGTAAACAAATAAACAACATAATCACAAAACAACATTTTAGGCAAAATTTTGACACAAACAGAGGACAATATTTTCCTGATATACAGGGTTTATTTAACATGTTTAAAAAAATACCATGATAATACCGAAAACCGTGATAATTTTGGTCACAATAACCGTGAGGTTCAATTTTCACACCATGACAACCCTAATTGTAGTATGAGTTATATGCATGTATGAGGAGTAGACGTTCTAGTTGTACCCTCTCCTTTGACCATTCTGATGTTCAGAAACTGATTTCATTGGATGAGTTGGTATGTCGAAGTGCAAATTTGACTTCGGACTTCTAACTCAACATCTTCTGGCTTCTGGGGTAGACCCTAGCCTCGGGTCGTTATGTTGATCTCTGCCCTCTTTCCCCCTACTCAAAGCTAGTTGTCACTAGAATTGATTCTGGACTTGAATTTGATGCTCACATCAACTCTGTGATCCGGTCCAATTTTTTTTCATCTGAGACGCCTTTCCAAAATCAAGCCTATGCTGTCCAGAGCCCACCTGGAGCGAGTACTCCATGCTTCAGCAATTTCTAGACTTGATTACTGCAACTCTCTATATGCAGGGCTGTGTCAGTCATCACTGTGTCGCCTACAGGTTGTGCAGAACAGCGCTGCCAGGCTTCTGACTGGGACCAGGAAACGGGACCACATCATTCCAGTTCTGGCCTCCCTGCACAGGTTTCCGATCAGTTATCGTTCTCACTTTAAACTCCTGGTTTTTGTTTTCAACTTCTTCCAGGGTGGTTGCCCACTGGCCTCCTTTTTCAAAGGTGTCAATGTGATCATTGCAGCCTCCTCTGACATTTGTTTGAACAGATCTACTACAGAAATCAAGCAAGAACCACTGAAACTGGCAGAAAATTTGTTTACCAATGCTGAATGAGATGCAAAATCTGCATCACTGAGAAAAATTGGATGGGATCCTTAGGATATCTTTACTGGACTCTTCCTGAGTCCTTGCAGCAGCAAGTCAGTCATCATCATCATCAGCAGCAAGTCAATCAAATACAAGCATGAGCCACTGACACTTTGTGCCCGACACGTTTGGCCACACAAGGTCAGCGAAAAGTTTTACCACAAATAATGAATAATAATGAGATCAGAAAGTTGTACATTTATATTTTTAAATACATGGAAAGATGGAAGGTTGGATGATGCCTAACACAAATGTGCCCACTAATGCCCCCTTTCTAACAGCTCTACTCAGAGCGGCTCAAATTAATTTGGTCTAGCTGGATAGCCTTTCCATCAGTAATGAGTCTGCATCAGTACGAAGACACGAAACGCCACTGTCTGTCATTGTGAGGACTCTCCAGCAGGCTCGCAAGGACGGACAGGTTTGAGCCCACTTTTCTAAACATTCATCAAACGAGATGGAGAACGCAAGCTTCTGCTTGGTCAGGACGCAGCTTCCGTCAGCAGCACCGCCATTGCGCCCTCAAAAACAAAAAGAGGGCCGAAGATGTCTAGTAACAGACACGGAGTAGGGTGAAGAATAACTCAAGGGAAAAAAATCTAAAAATATGAATGTTTTATTTACCCATGACATTGATCCATGAGTAAAAAGATTCACAGCAAGTGTTTCATTCGTGGATGTGAATGACGGTAAACGTGGGTTTAGAGGTGGAGAGCGCATGAAGAGGTAGAGGAGGATGAGGGACAAATGTGTCCCTGTTAAAAAGTCTCTGAAACACATTAAAACAATATAAACGCAACAGTAAATGCACTATCGCAGACGGGATACATGACAGCATACCCCAGAACAGCGCTCTGTTGTCTTGGCAGGGAATTGCTTTACAACTCTCCCCAGGAGACGGAGACGTCTGAGAGCAAAACGTCTCTGTCAATCCATGTATGTCTCTCCCTTGTGGAGCTGACGCTGAAGCACAAACTGAGCTTTAGGTTTTTGTGTGACATGCAGATCACCTTACACATGTTGGTAGCATGGGTGTGGCCAAGCAACATGTCTCAGCTTGAATTTGAAAAACAACCCACACCATGTAGAGATGAGCAAAAGTTTTCTAATAGTCCCTTAGGGTAAAAATCCCGCATTTTTGGATGTGTTCCTGCTTCAACACTGAAACAATGAAAGGGTGATTTGCAGGACTTGTTGAGAACCTGAGGAGGTAAGTTAGGCTAACCCTAAACACTAAAGTCCAGGACCAGAGCAGGACACCGCTGCTGTTCTTTGTAGAGGAAGCTTGAGTTAGGATTGTAGAGAGGAGAACCACTGAATTAAATGTGTAATTTAGCCATAGCATAATGGCAGCAAAGTTTTTTTTTTTACGAAAATATATAAAAATAAACATGCAACACTAAAGAGAGCATTGCAAAAACAAACTGTTGTCTCTGCTTCATCCATGCATCCACCAGCCAGGCATGAACACAACCAACTGAGCTCAATTAACAACAGATGTACAGTGCCCATCTATTTTGGTTTAGCATGACTTCTCTGCAATAACACCATTAGTTGTCTCCTCATTGCAGATATCCTTTTTCAACCATACGTTTTCCCTATTAGGGCTAAAGCACTTTTCGGTAGCTTTTCCATAACTTTCACACAACCAGAAAACGTCTGCTAACCCAGGCTCGCTGGCGAGTCCACATCAACAGAAACCAGAGCATGTTGCAGACGAGTACTCTCAAATGAATTGGGGGCAACGTAGATGAAGTGGAGTCACCAGCATGTGGAGTCGTTGTGAGCAGAGGAAGACAACACCATTGTGTGTTACTGGTTTGAGTATTTTTTTAACCATGATAGGCTTGGATTTGGCATGTGAAAGTTCTGCCTGGTACAAACTTTTCTTTTGTTTAATTCTGATTCTGTTTCCTATGAGATAATATGTTGGCGTGCATTATGTAGCACTGTTTTTATTTAAATGAAAGACATGAATCAGGATATTGTTGTGGCATTATTATAACCACATCTTCATGAGCCCTAACCCTAACCCTACTTAGCAAGATAGACACACTGATCATATCTGAATAATCTGTTTCATTATCCAACTTTAGGCACCGCAAAACGGACAAGACTCTAATAATGATCTTTATCACTACTCTTGATTAAAGGCACTTTCTCTAATTCTACATCTGGGTTTGTTTCAAAGTTACTAAAAAGATGATCCCCAAACAACTAGGAGTGTCTTTACAGCCCTACAACTCAAAGTCTAAACATAAACAAACCCAAAGAGGCCAGATGTACAAGAGACAGTAGCACCTCTGTAAAAACTCTTCCAAAAAGTCCAAGAAAACAAAAGTTCTAACTGGCTTCAGCACACGTGTCATTAATAACACATGAATAATGAATATTTTAGGCATGTTGCATGTGTTTCTGAGTTAAAGTTATGAATATGCTTCCAGGATGGATCTGTTGGAGAAACATTTCCACTAAGACCGGTGAGCTGATGGCTCGCCCATCAGACGCCGTCATCCTAAAGCAGCTGCAGTCACCCAAATGTTTACTGTTTATGTCCAAGTTATCATTAAGCCTGTACACCAATCATTTGACATGTGTGTTGATTGTGACAGAAACATTAATTCTTCACCTACAGTGTTACATTTTTATTTGCTCTTATTGATGACCACAGAATTTCATATAAAACTACATGATACAGAAATCATGTTTTAACAGTGGTTTGGGTTGACTGTAGGGACGTTTTCCGACCTGACGCTGTTTTCAGATGGCAGCAACGCACCTGGGTCAAGGCTACACTCAGCCTAGCTGTTAGCTGAGCTGGTTGAAGAAGGTGTCTACAACGGGTAAGATGGTTACTTATAACTTTTACACAGAAACACATTTCAGCGTGACTAAAAAGTTCCTCTTGAGTTCACACATGGATTTTTGCCTGCTGTGAAAGAACTCGGACTGACCTACTCGCAGCTCCTGTCCGAAGACCGTCCTTTCTCCCAGCGCCGAACAGTTCCAGCGTCCATATCGGAACTGGTACTGACACTCGTTGATGCCCATTTGGGCACCTTCGCCCACAACAATGATGGCGTCTGGGCGGCTCTGGCAGATAGCTCGCTGGCGAGGTGCCAGCCCAGGAATCTTGTTGCAGATGATGTTGGCACCCAGAGCTACTACCGAGGACAGGGCCCTGCCGAGGTGAGAGAACACACAGCCACACAGTTAGTACTTCCTCCAGATGGGCAGGTTGACTCATGTGAGACTCTTCAAAACAGGATTCGGTTCCGTCAGTGACTGATGGATATTTAATGATGGTGTGAAAGCTGCACCAAAACCTTTCTGTTCTGTATAGATGAATCAAAAGGCTTAATTGGATGTTTAAAGGTCAACTGTTCTCATATTTTAATACATTTGCAGTTGTCTCTAGTAAGAATGAATGCCTTGTAAGTCATACTACACACATACTTGGGGCGACGGGTGATGTTGATTTTGTCCCTCTTTTATGTAGAATTTATTTCACAGTTTTCATTGGTTCACTCAATCCATTGTTTTACACATTTGTCCTGTACCAGAATGTTTCACCTATTTTGTAATTTGTATTTTGTTATTCAATATATTTACCTTCAACTGAACCATGTTCAGCGCTTTGGGCTTCCTGACAGGGTTGCGGAAGGCGCTTTATAAATAAAGCTTTGAATGATTGATTGATTGATTGATTGATTGATTGATTGATTGATTGATTGATTGATTGATTGATTGATTGAGTGATTGACGGTGGCACAGGAGTTAAGTGCTCGCCCCGTAATCAGAAGGTTGCAGGTTCGAGCCCCACTCAGTCTGTCGCTGTCGTTGTGTCCTTGGGCAAGACACTTAACTCACGTTGCCTGCTGGTGGTGGTCGGAGGGACCGGTGGCGCCAGTGCTCGGCAGCCTCGCCTCTGTCAGTGCGCCTCAGGGCAGCTGTGGCTACATCGTAGCTCATCACCACCAGTGTGTGAATGGGTGAATGACTGATTGCGTTGTAAAGCACCTTGAGGGGTTCCAGAACTCTAGAAGGCGCTACATCAAATTCAGGCCGGTGCACCTATTTGAGGATTGAGAATTGAGCTGGAGAAGACAAATGCATAACATGGCAGGGTTTGGAGTCTTATTTCTTGATATTTGTACATCTCATCCTTGATTGGCTAAAAGCAACATGACTCTACCACTGATTCCTTTTTCTCTGCGACGTTGATGTTTTATCTCAACAAATAATACAAGCCTGACAGAGTTCTGCTGTGTGGTGGAGTTAATATTGCTAACAGTTAGCCAATCGAGGTGTACTCTGTTTACTGGAGGCTAAAACAACAACAGTTGTGTCTCAAGACGGGTGAGTCCATGAATGTTAGTGACAGTGTGACGTAGATCTGTCAGGTTTTTCTAATCCTAGAGTTTCACCGCCTATTTTCTATCAGAAGCTAATGCAGGAGATAGGTGTAGGAGACTATTTCATGTTCAGCCTGCATGACAAATTCAGACTGATTATAATCAGAAATAATAATTAAAAATGTTTGTTTTGGTGAAGTTAACCTTCAAAGGCATCTTGTAAGAAGCCAGATAGAGACTCGCCAAAGCCCCTTTCCATGTTGGTTTGGACAACAAGAGGTTGAGTAATTAGATCATGTTTAATTGTTTGGTGTTTGTGAACGGCCGTCCAGTCTTCTTTACATTTTACACTTGAACCGGTTTCTTTTGGTGTTGACGCAGCATTCACCTTCCAAACATGGAGTAGATTACTTCTCATGGTTGTTTTGATCAGGGCTGGATGCTTTCTCTTTAGCCACATCCCATTTTCAATTTGCATGAATTATAATTAAGGGTTTTATGCAAATAGTTCAAGAACATGACACACCTCCTTTTGTGTTCTTCCCATAGAGGCAACAACCAGATTTGAGAAGGCCTCCCAACTGCTGAGAAAGGCTAAACAAAGCAGCGACTCTCTCCAAGTATTTTGTTTGTAGCCGGCAAAACCAAGTAGATACACAGTTATCAAACATGCCAGACATAAAGAGCCAGAAATGACCATGGAGGAGAAAAGCAGCTTTGAAATACGATGTTGACCTCGAGAGAATCAACCACTAACAAGGCAAACGAACACAAGCGAGATGTGTGTCAGCGAAACGCGATGGCATGGTGTAAGTGGTGAAATAAAAGAATGAGCGAGACGAGGAACAAGCGCTCAGAAGTGGAAAGACTCAAGAAATACATTCCTTTGGATGCAGATGTAAGCTCTTGTTTGGAAACAACTGACTTACAACGTTCCTGAAGAGAAATCGCTTCGGTAACCACACTCTGCTTTGGATGGTTGCTTAAGTTTCTCCATAAACATCCATTTTTATTTCTAACGCATCAGCTCAGATAAATCTTAACAGATTAAAAGCCTTTAAAACGTGAACACTGAATGTTTTCAGCCATGAGAGTGCACAAAAACATTTTAAACGGAACTTTTATATTTACCACTGTTGATTTTCTAGATTATCCTCTAAACAGACGGCTAAACACTCTTTTCCTTCTTTTTACGAGCAAATAGGATAAGACATTTATCATCACTGGTTAGAGCTGTGTGATTATTCACATTTGTATAGAGTTTGCTTGTTAATGACAACAAAAAGGCTGCAATCAGCAATAAATGTTAATAAAAGTTGTTTTGTTACATTCTGCTTTGTTAAACCTCTTATTAAGCCATGCACGCTGTGCTGTTGTTTTTAAAAGCCAGCACAACAACAGCGTTAAAAACTATGTCTTCATTCGTTTAGATTCTGACTCCCTTGTGCACTGTTGTGCAGCATCCTGTGATGTTTTCAGGCATCAACGCTGCGTGTGTTCTCTCAGTCTGCCTGGACATCCGAGCTTAGGCAGCAGCTTTCCTCACTTTTATTTAGCGCTCCAAGGAGTTGTTTCTCCAAGAGTTTTTAACTAATACATCAGGCCTTTTTCTGCTATAGTTTCTATATTCTAGTGTGATAAAAGAAATACATTCTGCTTTAAACAGCACAGCCCCGTCACCGGCCGACACAAACACGTGCCTGCAGTCGTTTTTGCTGTTTTAAGTGAATCTGAAGGTACTTGTTCAAACTACACAAGTAAGTAAATAAAAAATAGCCTCTTGTGTATTTTGATGTGAAGACAAAAAATTAATGTAGTGTTCCTAAGTTGGAAATCGTGTTAAATGATCATCGGTTAGATGTTTCGCTTATAAAGGAGCACCCGTATGAAGGACTTGTTTCGATGTCAATCAGTTGTTTGGGTTTCATGTCCACTGTAAACACAGACTGCTGCAGCCTTCAGTCCCTCTGCTGTTAAAGAAGCTTGAACTCCTCTGACCCTTTGTGACCCCTGCACCATATGCGTGGTTGCCCATGGCAACAATGACATCTAGCCCGTAGGAGCCAAAGAGAGCTGGCTCATTAAGACAGGTAATATGCAACTGGAGAAAGTCAGTGACTTGTGTAGGGTTGAGCAGAACTGGCCTCTTCCTGGATTAAATTATATTCCGATAGCCCAGCTGAACGACAGATTTTCTGACAATAAGAGCTTGTAAACCCCTCCTTCCTTCACTGGTTCTCATGTCCTTCACCTGGTAGTTCGCAGCAACACAAGCTAAACCATCACACACCAAACAGAGAATTCCAGAGTTAAGCTTTTAAATCCCTGCATCATCAAAGTGCACAAACGCAATTCTGTTTGCTTAGCCTGTGTGTATGCCAGCAGCTCGGGACAGCTCGCCCACAGGGCACAGATCTCCCATCCGATAGAGCGTCAACAGAACCACAAAGAAAAATGTCACCAAAGTTCTGCAGTGGTAGCAGGCGGCTGACCGCTCACACAAAACGGGTCTCGTGATTCAGGGTTTGCTGTAAAAATCAGGTAATGGTTTACTGTTACGACAGTTTAGGTCAGGAGCAGAACAGAGTAAAGCTTTTAAGTGTTACGTAAGTGTCCCTTCCAATCTGAGCTAAACTTACAAGTCTTGTGTCATTTTCACACAGAAACATGCATAAGCATCACTAAACATCTAAATAATTTACATTCACCGTTTTTCACCCTAACCCCAAACAGATCACTGATGACTCAATAGTTCCATCAGTCTTTAACAAACTGGGTTAAAGTAACCAGGAAGTAGCCAACAGGGCCCGGTCAGCCCACATGATACATAATCATTAATGTAAATGTTTATTTGAAACCGATGTAGAGGTTGTTTATGATTGATCTGAAACAAAACAATGCTGTACAGCAACGCAGCCCACTGAAGCAAAATCCACACCTATTTCAGGTTTGGGGTCAGCACACTGAGAGGCAATGATGAGTTATTCTTGGAAACGTTAGTGTTCTCCTGTTAGCCGTTTATTTAGAGCCTCATCAGCTCATTAGAGTGCCAATCACCTGATCCTGCAGGAGGTCCCTATCAGCTGATGGCTTCATTCACACTGGCTGAAAAACTGAGGCCTGATCTCAGGTGGTCATCTGTCTCTGGCAGGTAAAATTTGACAGCATAATGATGTTTTTCTTGCAGAGTCACAAAAACAAACAGAAACTCCAGCATCCGACTGTCTAGAACATCTCTGCCACTCTGTGGCCAAAGCGAATCCATCTGCTGGTTGGAAAATGACTCGTTTTTTCTGACCTTACTGAACATTTGCACCAACCACTCTTTGTTTAACATCTCATTAGACTTCCTAATTTATATCACCACACTTCCACGCGCTTAATCGATTTTCAGATTGTTTAGAATCGAAGGAAAAGTGAAATTTAAACGTTGTAAAATAAAAAAAACATGATCCAAGTCAAACTAAATGGTCCTCAGCTGGTATAATTAAAGCTGGTTATCAGGATAATCCTCCTCCCATTGTGTTGCTGATGCTGGGAGCGCGCGCGCTCCGGACCTAATTAAGACGCAGTTAATTGGCTGAAACTTACAGGTAGCTGCCGCTGGTCAGGATGAGGAAGATCTGCGGGTAGTAGACTGACAGCAGCACACTGCGCGACGAGAGGATGATCATGATGACATTGAGCAAACCGCCACGCTCAGACTGGATGAGACGACGCTGACAGGGTGAAGAAGAAAAGCCTTTAATTCCCGTTTTTACGTCCGTGCGCGGATCCAACAGATAAAAGAAGCAGCCTGCTCTCCTCGTGCTCTAGTTTTACGCAGCTCCAATGCGCTCCCAGCGGGGCCGTGCGTGCGCCGACACTGGCTCTGACATCTCTCAGCAGCAGTAAAGGCTACTGCGGCTCCCCGAGCCGGAATGATGATGGTTTTAGGGATTCTGCATGGCAGAAAAGTGCCTCTCTCCGCTCTCATGAGAGTCGTGCCTGCCATTGGGCAGGGAGACGAGCTGCTATCCGCCCACTTCGCCACGACGGGACAATGGGGTGACACCGATCCGATCCCCGTTGGGGCGTGCAGGAGGTTTCATTCATCATCATCACCCTCCATCCACCCACCCTCCGCCACCACCACCCTCCATCATCCTCACCCATCCAGCCAAAAATAAACAGATTGAGCTGCTCCAACCCCCTTTTTTCTGACTGAATGTCACTTTTATTCAGAAAGTTGCTGACGTCATTCTAAATATTAATATTTAGCAATTTTTAAAGACTTTGTCGTTAAAACCAAAATTTCTAAATCCTCACGTTTCTGAACTGAAGCTCAAAAAAGGAAAGATAATCTGTTGAACATTTAACACTGTTGTCTGAGATTGGATCTGAGCAGAGAAATAAAATACCTGAGGAGATTTGTTCTCTGAGAGCTGAGTGAGTGTGGGGCTTTTATCGCCTCAGCATCACGACTCTCACTCAACACCTGCAGGCTCCAGCCATTGAGCGTGGATAAGAGAAAAGGGTGGAAGGAATGAAGCGTCTGACCAGGATTGGTAAACATGACTGTTACCAGTTAATGGAACTGCTGTCACGTGATGGGAGGAGCGGGACAGATGGCCCTTTGGGATGAATTAGAAAATTTACATTTGTTTTAAATAGGCTTAAGCAATGTTACAGTCAAATATTTAGATTCAGATGTATAATTATACAGTTTTCATCTAAATGTTTAAGATAAAATAAAATAAAAAGTTAAACAAAAGTCCTAACAGTGAATATAGATTATTAAATCCAAATATGCAGAATTGTCCAAATATAAAATGTTGTCAATCCCACATGGACCTCATTATAAAGTTAAGTCTAAACATCAAAAATAAAACCGCAAAATAGAAAGTGTTCAGTTTTAAACTAAATATTTGGCTAATGTGCAAAATCACCCAGGAAAAAAATGGACTAAATGTATCAAATAAAAGTTGAAGACATCTCCAATCTAATGTCTCAGGGTTGGTTTTGATGGTAACACCTTGTCAGTCATTTCAAGATTCTGTATTATATGCAGAGACCGCAAAGATAAACATGACCTTGCCACCAAAGGGTCTACGGAACTACATGGGATCTCCTTGTCCCAGTTTTAATATGTTACTTTCATTTACAGCTGTTTTAATGTGATCATTTAATTAAAAAGAACACATTTGTATTTAGATATCAAATACAGGTCATTTAGATGTACTTTAAATGTTGTTAATACTCTCAATATTAGGAATAAAATTGAGAAATTTTTAGATACAAATCTAAATATGTATTTTAACATTATTACTTCTATTTTTATAAAATCGATGCACTCCCCCCCCCCCCCCCCCCCCCCCCCCCCAAATAAATATGTTTGGAACATGTATGTAAAAGAAAATCCCACGGAGCTAATTATAACAAACTAAAGCTTTTATTTACTATTTTACAATTGGCACCCCATATTCCATCCTCTCGTGAAGACACACACTGGCTCATGGGTCATTTACAGGTTTGAGATGGAAACTAAAAGCAGCTTACAACCATCGATGTGCATTAAAAATCACCAAAAATGTGCATTCTTTAGACTGCGCCTATGATTCAGAAGAAAATGAAGCACTGCAGACATATCTCCGTCTTTATGCATCAATGTTAACTATTGCAAAATAGGTGAGGGGAAAATCTCTGTCGAGGCCATGGAATGTGGAAATACAACTCAGTCTACCGCTATTAATGAAGGAATGCAGCCAGGGGTGAGCTGGATCCGCAGCGCAGTGGCTCAAATGATCCTGTGCGCCCAATAAGGTGCGGGAGCCTCAGATGCTGTGGACCCAATAACCTTCCTATAATAAAACCACTTTCATCCGTCGTATCCAAACAATGACCTTAACGCACAATGATTGCACATTTAATCATTTATATTTGTATGTGTATTTAGTAATCTACCCATCCAAATCTTTTTATTTTATTACATTTAAGTGTGAGGCCGGGGTGGGGGGGGGGGGGGGGGGGGGGGGTCAATCAAATACCACCGCAATGAATAAGTTTGCGCATGTGTGAGCAACAAAACGTGTGCGTATGTGTGTGAGTTCGCGCGCATGTTGTGAGAGGACAACAAAACTCACCCTAGTCGGAGGTATAGGATGCCAAAACTCAGGAACACGTAGAGACTCCACTTTCGGGGGGGTCTGTGCATGATCGTTCCCACTTTATCCAGAGGCCATGCACTGTTACACAAAGTGGCCACGCGCGTTCCTTTCGCATGAGGAGGCACCTCTCTATCCCCCCCAGATCATATGCCCTCTATTTCCTGTGACATCAAGCCGCAGCTCCTTGGAAATCTTCGATATTGTCAAATCCATGTTTGCGTTCAGGTGAGGCGCTGATGTCTGAGTCAAATAGTCCACTTCTGAAACTCGGTCGGCCTAGAGAGAGGTGAGGGAGTTCTTGGAGGAAGTGCCTCCTATTCGTCCTTACTTTGACGGTAAATTCTAATTAGCTCTTCAAGCCCTTTGCTGCGTCTGGAAGGCAGAAAAACAAGTTTCCTTCTTGTGCAGCTTGACACACAACATCTGCGTATCTGTCTTCCTGGAAGCGTGTGCGCATCGCTCCGTGTTCCTGATTCTGGGAGGCATCTTAAACTGACCAGGTAAGTCTAATACAGGTAACAAAAGGGCTGTGCGCCTCCTCCTCCTTCTTCCCCTTCCCACAGCGCAGCGAATGGGACGGGCTTGCAGGCTCAGCTAAACACGTGTAGTTGTTGTACAGAAAACTACAGAGAATGAAGTGAAATGGCCTTTTATAGGCATCCAGCTCAGGCTTGATGCAACAATGGGCATTGCTTAATGTGGGCTCCCAGGATGGGCCACCACCACAACAGTTAACCCAATAAAACCAACATCATTTCCAGCTGTTTGAATTAACAAATAAAAAATATATATAACCCAAAGACTGGTAATGAGCAACTATCATGAGCTGGTTTTCTGACACATGTATTTCAGTGAGGTCATGTTAGCACTTTGATTTGGCCTCAGTGGATTAGCATCAGAAAAAAATTGCATGCATATTTATAGGGGGTGAGTCAATGTGATGTGAATTCTGTGCAGATGTTTCAGAGTCAGCTCCTCTGGGAGGAATTGTGTGACTAAGCAGACTCCCTCTGGTGGCTGCAGACACTGATCTGATCTAGCTGAGCATCCAGAGCCACCATAAACACGGGACTCCAGCACTGCAGCTCCTTCTGAATCATGACCTCCACAAACTGGGCCCGTCTCTCAGATATTAGTGTTCTAATTTAAATATTGGGGGGGGGGGGGGGGGGGGGGGGTGTCATTCAAACACACCAATCCCTCTCTGTGTTGATCATGAATACAATCCATCATTGTTAAGCACAAAGCTATAAAATGGCTGGGAGTAAATTATACTTTCACTTTGTTTCTCTGCTATTTGTGCACATGGATAAACACGCACACACAAACACACACACACACACACACACACACACACACACACACACACACACACACACACACACACACACACACACATGCACACACACCAAAGTTAGACAGAGTGGGAATTATATACTGAGGTGTTTCCTAATCAGCAAACAGGTGTTTTCAATTTTGATATCAGTTTATCTTATTATTTAAAGGTAGTCACAATGCTGTTTGTTGTCAGGGTGTGTACCACACTAACACGGACCACAGAAAACTAAAGGGAATGTTGTCTCAGGAGATTATAAAGACTTGTTTTTAACCAGCATGTTAAACGTAAAAGCATAGAAGACCATCTGCAAGCAACAAAAGGCTAGCATGCAGAAGAAAAAAAAACAGAGCATGTCAGCAAAGTTGATGCAACACATTCTCACACTCGAAGCGGTTAAAACAGACGATGGGTGACAAGCCCTTGTTTCCAATGCATTGGGAGACTCAATGCGTCGGGAGGCGCCACGCGGTGCCAGAGCATCGGTTTCTGAAGCCCGCGGGAAAACGTACATTTCACCGGCATTTGACCTCTAACCTCTTGCTATTTAACTCATTCACTGCCAGCCGTTTCCTGATCGCTAACGGCCTTCGCTGCCAGCGTTTCTCACAGTTTTTACTGTTTCAAGAGTCACAGAATGTTGCGCGCTAGCATGATGTCGATGCCAAAACAACCAAAACAAAGCGGAGACTCACCTCTCACATCAGGAAGAATCCGTGTGTTTCGAGCGTTATCCGTTCTTTCATAATCCGTTGTTGAATTGTGATCGGCAGACGCTTTTCCGGTTCGCGCCTCACTTTTTTTTACAGGAACGGCCCAAAACGATCTCCTAACACATGGATGGTCTTTTTCCTGATCATGTGACATGTGACGTATACGGATGAAGATCGGCTTCAGGGCTGAGATGTTTGTTCTCTCAGCGCGGGGGCTCGTTCTGATGCTCAAACAGTAAAAAAAATGCAAATGACGACTTTAGTCGTCATTGGCAGTGAATGAGTTAACCTTCCCCTCACCCCCACCCTAACCTTAACCCAGTTTCTCATTCTAAACTTCTCGTTAACCGTGTTTGAGAGGGACGTCACCACTAGAAGCAAAGTTTTGCATGTGCAAGAGAGAAAAGGTCACAATTCAGTGAAATCTCTGTTTTACCACAGGCATCAGAAAGCAACGCTCTGGCACAGCGCGGCGCCTCGCGACGCGTTAGGGCTCCCAAAGCGTCGGGAACAAACGCTTGGTCACCCATCGTCTGTTTTAGCCGCTTCGGGTGGGAAAATGTGCTGGCTGACCATCTCGAAGCAACTTAGTGTTTTCATTGAAGTCATTATTCAAACCTTCATGGTCCACAGGAGGCTAACTTCTGTTGGCGTGGATGCGATTAAAAAACTGACAACTTAGAAGATGACTTTATGAATGATAACTAAAGAGTTCAAAAGACCTTCCAAAGAGAATGGAGTTGAACTCCAAGGTTCGTCAAGGTCATACCGCTAAATGAACTTAAAGACACATTAAGTTTTGGGGTGCTTTAACACTCCTTGGGGTAGATTTTCTTCACTGTTGTAAAAACAACCTGCAGTACTCTCCTCCTTGCTGTTCACTCGTCTTTTCAACACCCTAATCTACTGCTGAAAACGCTCCTCAGCCTTCATTAGTTTCTACAGGAGACGTTCATCACTAATTCAAACAAATCAGCTGTTGTCGTGATCTAAAACAGGCAGGAATCATGTGCTGGAAGCAGACTCCGGAGCTAGCATGTCAGCTAGCCACTTTACTTTTGACCGAGAAATTTCCTGGTAACTAATATGACCTAAACGGTGAAGGGAGACCCTGAGAGGAGGAATTTTGTAACCACTGGGAAAGGCTGTAGCCTGGCAGTAAACACAAACACAGCAGTCAGAGTGCTGGGCGGCAGGCGCGTCACTCTAGAAGCTACAAGTGGCTCGTCAAAAGGACCGGCTCGCTGAGAAATCAGTGTGTCAGGATACGAGGCACTCAGGTAGAGATGAGAAAGTGTCAAATACGCTTTTTAACTAAATCAAATAAAGGTTTTCCTTGTTTCTTCTGAGGTTCCAGCATGATGAACATGATGTAGTAAATTCTAACCGGGTGTAGCTAGTCCGTTTTGAGGTGTGAACATAGATTGATGTAAGCATTACTGCTTCTTGCGAGACACGTGACCTTGTGAGACTTCAGGTCACGGGTCCGAGGATGCTCAAATTGCAAACACGTTGTTCTGCCCATATGGAGCGGAGGGGGCTGGGAGAATATTAGTTTACCCTGGACAGGGTCACTTTAGCACCTACTGTTTCAGCAAGTGTCTGATTTTTGCTGGTTGATTTTCCGTGCATTTATTATTCCTTTTGTCAGTTTAAAGTTATTTCTGTGACCATTATTGGGGTTCTACCCTTAAAAGGGCACCATCAGTTCCCCGTCTGCATGTTCTGTTGAAATCCACGCTAATGAAAAAGCTTAGTTTAACAAAATCCAATTGGTTTTCTCATCAGAAGACCTCACTTTCATATTCTGTTGAGTTATTTGCACTTTAATGGTCCTAACACGTTTTTGTTTTACAAAAACACAACAAATTAAAACAAAGCACCCTTTCATTACATTTCCAAGAAACAGCATGAAAAATGGCTAACTTGCTGTAATAATGATGGCATAAACTAGAGCTGCAGACATGAGCTATATGAGCACAGAGACTGTGAGGCTGGTGTTCGCCACGAGAAACAGACAAAACCGCAGAGACCTTTGTTTCAAGACATCCTGGATTTATATGGTTTTCGAGGCCTTTTCCTTCAAAACATGACCATCAAAATACCAGATGATGTTAGGAATAATCAAAGTCAACATGCAGGCCAACGGTGACATAAAAAAAAGACACGCATTTGATGTCTACCCTGTAAAAGATGGTCTTGTTTGTCCTCAAATGCACATAAATCACGGGTTTGGGCGGGGATGGTCCTGTTGAGTTTAATTAAAATGTTCAAAGGCTCCGTTTTATGGTGGCAGGATCACAGCCGGGGACAGTGTGCGTCAGCCGCTATTTGTCACCCGCTATTGTCGCTGCAGACATGTCGCACACATCCCCTCGCTGTAGGCATTCCTCTCCATGCTCCCAAAACACGATCTTGCTCTTAGTGACCACACAGACAGCAAGTAGGCCCACAAATCAGACTGTAGACACAGCGGGCACACACACACACACGCTCTCTCACATACACACTAGCACTTGGGTGGTATGCGGAGGATCTTGAGACATGCTGTTTATTTAACTTCAAAAAAGCTGAGGCAGGGATGAGAGTGCTCGGGTTAGAGAGGACATCAATCTGAGTCAGTTGTCCGCCACATCACTGCTTTCTGCTGCACCTACAGGCCAACTGCATGTGAAAAATTTCCACTTAGTGTCCTGAAAGGAAACGAGTTTCCTTATTACTTCTCAAAGAGCCAACAAAGTTTTGCAGGATTGCACAACATTGTTAATCGGTTCCTTTTTGCACGTTCCTTGTGCAAACGGCAGAAAAAAAAAGGGTTTAGAAGAAGAGGAGGAGAGAGCCAGAGATCATATTTTGGCAAGCATGGGATGCTGTGTCGTACTGTCTTTTTGAATATTATTAAGTACTCTTGACCGACAACTAAATAAGAAAACCCACCGGTTGCCCATGTGTTTGCATGGGAGCGAGTTCAACTGGAAACAGTGAGAGGGCTGAAAGGCAGAGTGTGCCAAACCACGGAGTGGCGTCTGGGGCTGGGTCCACCACATCTACGCTGGGCCCCAGGCAGGAGGGGGAAAATTGCTAAACTGCACTCGCAAAGTCCCCCTTTCCATCTCCATCAGACATCCCACTGCAGCTCTGGGCTCTTCTTGATTTTAATACTTCCCACAATTACCTAATCTCAGGCTTTCGAGAGGCGCAAACGGAGAGGATTCCAGACCAAGTGACCCCTCTGTGTCAGATGTCTTTTTGTACAGCTAACCATGAGGTCAAAGGTTAAACCAATCCCACCAGTCCTCCCAGTCTTAACGACGACTTTGACCTTTTCATGTCTGAAGTCCAGCTGGATGGCTGTGTGGTCCAGTTAAATCCTTCCCACGCTCTCGGGTATATCAGATTCTTCTTGTGCACGTGTGTGTGTGCGCGCGCGTGCGACTGTCGGCCATCTTGCTTCTTAGCAGCTGATTAGTGCAGCTGAAATGCTTCACTGTGTCCTCTCAGTGAAAGGCAGGGTTTGAGGCTTTCTTTCAGGGCCG